TTTGTCATACGGAGCTGCTATAATATGAATCAACCTGAGAGCACCTAATAACAACAATTTTTCTGCAAAGCACCGTAACAAAATATACCAACCTAATAAAACTCATCAGGTTGTCCGTCTTATTTGTTCAAAATAACTTAGAAGAAAATTTAAAAACAAAGTATAAAATGGCAGCTATAAGGGCAAATATAATTTCTAATTACACATAAGCCATACAGATGCTAAATGGTTAAAATAATTAGAATACATAAATTTTTAAAAAATTATTTACCACTTATATGTAAGGATACAGACAGGCTAAAATGAAAAAGATTAAAGATATGTGCTATAAAAACATTAATAACGAGAAAGCTGGGCTAGCGGTAGTAATTTCAGATAAAGAAGACTTTAAAATTTTAAAAGTAATTTTGTAATTTATACAGATTATTTCATTCATAAAATATCAACATTCTAAATCGAGTGCACTGAATGATAAATGTAACTTTTAAATAAATAGAGCAAAATTACACAAGACAAATGGTAGCTTTGTCTGTAGGAAAGTACACTGCTAACTCTAAAGGTACCTCTCTCTCTGGCAGCTTGAATCCACTAGCAACTCCACAAGAAAAAGAGAAGCAATTCCTCCAATGTAATTTACACAGCTCTGAGAGTTCTGACTTTATGGTGAGAACAGGAAAAAGACAAATCCCTAATCAACAAGAAATACTTTAAGAAATCTCTCATAATAGTAAATTAATTATAAAAACAGACACAAAAAATTAACTCTGCATGTGGCATATTCCTCTGTCCCATCTTTCACCTTACAACCACCATCACAAGCAAACCCATTTACCTGTTGCAGTGATGCGATTGCATCACCAGGTCTTTCCATTTTGCTGTACACTTTTGCCAGAAGAACTTGAGAACGTCCATCCTCCATAAGAGCTGACAGTTCATTTACTATCAAAGAATGGGACACATGAGCAGGATATACTTTTTTTAATTTTTAAATGTTTTTATTTGACATTCTTTACTTTTTTTTTTTTAC